AAATACGAATTTCTATTAAATATAAAGCTATTTCAGAGTTCCTTAAGAATATATAGCCTCCCAGCTCATAGGAAAAGTACCGGAGAAAGGATTATCAATTTAATACCTATCTGAAAATATGGAATCTGCAGATGAATATGTACTCAATCATTGCGGACGGGCAGTAGTTCATACACCGAATCCCGAACCACAACCACACACCTACAAGAGATTGCTGTTCGTAGCACAGAAAAACAACTATCGCACGTTCTAAGCACGTCGAGCCAAGAAGGGTAAATACGTAAAAATAGAGGAAAGAAATCGAAATAGGCAAGATCTAATGACAAAAAAGATGAAATTTTACTTAAGCACATTGGAAACGTAATGTGGAATTATATATTTTATACTTCTTGACTTTTGAATCTAACTGTAGTATCTGCGTCCTATAACTGTTGCTTGTTTTTTTGTGTATGCCTTTTATCTCTGACGATGGACTCTAGAAGGAGCCCGAAAGCTCACACAAGTAAAAGTATGATTCCGGTGATCGAAACGGCTTCTACTTCTCTATCTACACACGTACCTGGGATGCGAACATTTGCCTTAATTCATAAGCATGAGAGTTATCAGACAGTAACCCCTACTCTGCGGATATAACTGACGATATCGAAAATGAAGATAAAAGGTTGGCGTTATCACAGATATTCAAAATGGAATGAGAGGCGGGCGGAAACTCTACACAGATGACATAATTTACGGTCAGTTTTGTAGTTCAGAGAAAATTTTCACAAGAAATCGTAACAATTCGAGAGATATTTAATAAAAATCAAGAACTGAATTTCATAATGACTCCTGAATAGGCGTGAAAAAGAGAACTTCAGTCATCAAAAAGTAAAAAATACAACTGACTTTGAATACAATTATACTATACAAAGTTAGTCAATTTGTAAAAAAAACAACTGAACTAAGGTAAGCATTCCTTGTCCTGCGCGCATCCATCTGTGTAAAATCGCGCTTGTGACTCACTTTTTTACTCTCGAGGAAACCCTTGTGTGTGAGCAACAGTGATATCCATGGTTATTGCGGAATCTCCATATCCGGTGACATCTAGATTGTTTGTAGGATAGAAAAATACAAAAATGTATTGGTCAGTCTTTCTAAGTATGGTGATGTTTTATGACCAACCACCAATTTTTTACACGTCATTGCACCTATTAAATAGGGTCGTTGTCCTTCTTTACTCAAGGTCCTGCTACTGGCGTGAAAGCACACGCAGTCCAGTATAGGACACTAGTCGCCTTTTGGACGAAACTCTTAAGGTTCTCTGAAGGAAACGAACTAACTTCCAAGCGTACGAATGTCTATCTTGATACAGTAACCCATCGACTTCGCTTGATGGACCAGGGAACCAGATTGTCGTGCTTAGCTTATAAATGCTAGGCAGTCTCTGTAAAGCTCAGCGTTCTCTGCGTTTTAATCACCTTGTAAGCATGAATTAATTGAGACTATTACAAGCACTATCCAGTTTTCATGCCCAAAATCGCTTTTGATTATTGATTATCGATTCTCTAACATGACCTGGTTCAACTAAAATGTGTGAGTAGCAAAAAACGAACTATGTGGGCATAGATTTTTAGTAGGTCTTTCTTGTGAGGCTGTCTTTTCTGTGATTAATAATAGCAAACTACCTCCACATTTTCAGTATGTCGAATTTCTGCTTAACAAAGATCTCCTTGAATATGTTAACTGACAGGAATTTTTCTCGTAGTTCTCTTGGCCCATGGGTTTCCCTTTAGGTCTTTTATCTCCTTTCCACAACCTTCTCACTTACAAGCACCTCGAATTTCTTTCTTACCGCCCCTGGATTTCCTCACCCTTATTTACTCTGCAAACATGAATTCCGCAAGAAATTTTGTTGGAGAACATTTGCGTTCAGGCGGCCTCACAAAAATGCCTTACCGGTTTTCACAAAATCGCCAGGTCGTATTGACAAAGTCATCTGCTTGCGCCCGCTCGGCCGAAGTGACCATGCAGTGCTTATGTGGGACTATTCGTTATTTTCCGTGTTGCCTAATGAAAAAGTCAAAAACTTAATATTTTGCGAGGGAAAGCCAATCGGATGAGAGCAAATTTAGCCGCATATTGGCAGCAGCTTACTTGTTTCGGCCAATGTGAACGAAGACTGGGATTTGTTCAGGAAATTTCCGATCTCCAAGGTATTTAAATTTTCTTCGAGATCAGGGCTATTAGAGGACTATACAGCCTGACAGGACTAGGAATTAACTTCGACTGATAAATACCGTACCATTGAGAAGTCTCCAACAAGACTAAGCTGACTCCTGCGAAATTTCGGATTCATCGAAATTTATCCTTCGCCGTTCTACTGCTTCTTCGCCCAGGACTACTGACCCATCGCCGAGCAATACATCTAGAACTACTACAAAGGCTGAGTCGTTCTGATAACATAGATATTCGTTGTAATGTCGTGTCAAAGCTATCGTCTAAGTTAGGGTTTTTGGGAATTTTCTCAACTATTATTCCACTTCTATCGCTTCTACTGCAGACTCTTATCCAAATGCCTTTCAATAAAGTCGATTCGAACTCCCGACGTCATCCCAACAGGGGAAAAAAGTCGGTCCACCACCCGGATTTGAACCTCGGACGCCTCGGGTGGAAGTCGAGCGGCTACCCGCTTGGGCTATGGAAGCAAGCTGTGCTTGTTATCAAATTCACTTACCACCTACAGAAACGCGCTCTAGAAGTCCTTTGAAAACACCTCCTGCCAAACGGACGAAAAACATCAAAAATTTAAGGGATGCAAACTATAAAGATTAGGCCTGCATATCGTATTTTACCCTTCTTAACAAATTTGCGAACCTTGAGAAGGTGGTAAATGGTCTAAGAGTGGAGATGGAGGAGCTGAATAAATTTCCTCGATTTCGCCCTCAAGAGGAGACATTGGTGATGGCTGAACTTGAGGCAGGTAACCTAACGTACGGAGAAGCAGCATTCCACGCCGAATCTTCGACGCAGAAATATGACCAGGCAGCCAGGTTGCTTGACGGAGCCGGTAGTCCGTTATGGGCAAAGAAAATGGTCGACCCACAGGCTTCTCAGAAAACAGCACGTTTTGCGCGAACTTTGAAATTGTTTGCGAATAACAAGTCTCTCGAGCTTACGTGCTCTCTCTCAGTAAAGAAGACATGCTTCTTGGAAA